CCAGACTTTAGTCGATAAGTTACGGTAGGCCTACCTTTATCCTTGTAGCTATTTGGAATAACATAATTATAATCATCGTCATCGTCATCGTCATCCTCAACCAAACTCCCTCCCGAACTTTCATCCTCAACCAAACTCGGTACCGAAATGTTTGTCCTGCAAGCTACACTATGATATATAGGGTCTTCATCGTTGTCATCACGGTCAGTGGTGGTGTATCCTATATTTACTGGCTCATACACGTCAACCCGATCAGGCTCCTTCTCTGTGTGAATTAAAAAAATAATTAAAAAAAAAAAATTCAGCAGTAAGCGATATTAATGTAATTACTGTGAAGTTTCGAAATAAATTTTGAAAAATTGTATCGAAAAAAAAATGCGATTTTGAAAATATTAATAAAATGAAATGATGACATCTATACAATCATATCAATACACTACAATAGTATACGGTATATTTTATCCATATTAATATACGTACCTGGTTTTATGTTGATATTTGAAAAATCTTTATCCGGTAGTGCCTCTCTTTCATTCTTTCTTTCTAGGTCTGGGGAACTGTCTTTTGTATTAGGCAGACTTCTAGTAGATCGCCGATTAAGTAGAGAAAGCCTGCCTTTATTCAGACCTTTAGCTTGAGAACAACAAATTAATTTAAAACTATGAGTTCATTACCATCACTTTGATCATCACGAGCTATTAGTATGTTGGGTGTTGCCGAGGCAGATCAATATTTTCAGCCTTAAAGTCTAAGGCCTGTTTATAATTCTTTTAAGCAAACAAAAAAAGTTTTCCAAAGGTGAGCCCCAATCATCAATCATCCTCATAATCATCATCATCATCATCATCATCATCATCATCATCATCATCATCATCATCATCATCATCGTCATCATCATCATCATCATTATCATCATCATCACCATCGTCATCATTGTCATCATCATGTATTTTATTATTATCATTATCATTATCACCAGCTATACTGTTACATAAAAATGTGTTATCTGAGCATACCAACTTGACACTTGTAAACATCGGTAGCTGGTATCACTTCTAAACCATCTAAGTATATTTGAAGCAACAACCACAACTACAACAACAACAATCGGAACAAAAGCAATAATAACTGAAATCGTCATCATGACCGTCATTGTAATCGTCATCATTATTATCCTAATCATCATTATTATCATCATCATAATCATCATCATTATCATCATCATCATCTTCATCAACATCATTATTAATGAAGACAACACCACCGTTCACACCAACTCAAAATGAATAGATCTTTTACCTTTCGTTGACCGTCGCGAATCAGGAGACTCTAATTCTGGAATTGTCAAATTCATTTTTTGTAATGCATTATTTACTATAAGTTTATTGACTGTGGGGAAACAAACAAAGGTGTGATAATTAGGCCTAACTATAAAAAGGTACATATTTTTCTTTTCCTATTTTCCCTTTAAGTAGTGCAGAGTTTTTCTCTTATTGCTTAATATTTTCGTTCTGAACTTGTATTCAATGTATTCATTTTGCCTTAATATTTTTCATCATCCTTTATATTTTTAATTATTATTTCTACTCCTTTATTTTGGATTTTAAGATTCGGTATAATATGTTGTCATTTGTAAAATACATATTAAATAGAAATATAAATGCATTGGTGCGCTCATAAATAAATAACATAAATAACAACATTAGCGCTATTTCTCTTCTAGCTTACAATTTTTAATTTAAACTTAAAAAAACCCAAAAAACAAAAACCATTTTTCATTTATTTTCATCATCACATCATCATACTACTCCACATAACCATCATCGTCATCATTATCGTCGTCATCATAGAGTTACAAAGTTAGTTCCAATCTAAATAATCTGTATAACAATATTGTATAATTACATAGGTCCCTATATTATAGTATTTATTTGATATATAATAATATCAATTTTTCCCTTTCACTAGAAATGCATGTAAAATGTGTCAGTTTTTTAAACTTCTTAGTACCGTCCATCGATTTATAATGCTGTCTTTCCGGTTTTCCTGACATCTCTGACGCAATCTGATACTGTGCAGTGAATATATTCTGACTATCAGCAGAGAATTTCAACCAGCCTTGGCTATACGTGGTCAAAGCATCCTTTATTGTCCTGGCCTAAATTCACAATAAAAAAAACCAAACTAAAACAAACTCATTTCATTTAGTAAAAAAGACACGTGGTAATGTCGAACACTATAACTACTATACGTAATAGAATGTGCATCAATCACAACTGATATGGTGGTGCCAATGGGGAATATCTGAGAGAAGGCACCCAACAGTCTTCCCCTCCTCCCTATTCCGTCGGGGACACGGCAACATAATACGAAGTGGACAAAAACTACTATTCACTTTTTACAAATAATGAAACCCAAATATTGATTCAACAGTTTTTCAAGTCTCTAAATTTTTTGGGGGGGTTTTCCCCTGTACCCTGTAGAGATTCTGGTGGTCTTCTCTGGACCTGTCCACTTATGCCCGTCCGGACATACCCTCTGTTAGGCAAACCTATGACGCCACCATAATTAAAGACATGGAAACTTTATAAGAAAAAAGTAATACAGATGGCACATCTTGGCTAAAGAAAGTAATATAACGTATTAACTAGAAACTGCAAATTGCAAGTGAAGTGCTACGAAGTACAACTGCATAAAATGTTCTTCGAACAAAATTATTTATGCGAGTCAAGTGAAAGTAATGAATAATAAAAATATAACAAATAGTATGAGCACGACCCATTGTCTATATTAGAAGAGCGTTGGTACCGTGTACAATAGTGTTTTGCTGCAGTGACATCTCTCTGCTGGCGACTCGCTGCTGCTGACGATGACTCGCTGCTGGCGAATCGATCTGCGCATGTGTATAAAATGGTATTTATTTCCGAAAACACTATGCCAGTCTACAACAAGCGTCGCCTAAATGTAATAATTAGCACGTTGAAATAGGCTAGTAAATAAGTTTAACTGGGTTCGTAAATAATATTGGCCTCAAAATATTGTGGCTGAGACATGAGCCGATTAAACGTAGAAATAGAAAACCTAGAAATATAGTAAAAATGCTGAATAGTACTCCAGCGTCGCGACATGCCGAACGTTGGTACGAGTAGGAAGTCTACAAACGTCGCCTAAAGTAATTGATTTTACCCGGCAGAACGAAAGAAGGAAACTCCGCTTTTCAGTTGTCTTAGGCGATTGTTTTTTGACAAACAATGACCTTTCAGAGGTCAAATTGCTGTCAAGAATATGAATTGGCTGCTTCGCAGCAACAATATAGCTAACTAGGCCTAATATAAATACATGGATATGATGCATAGACGCTTATGAATTATATTCTCACTGAATCTATTGTTGATATTTTACTTACCTTTGTTATCTCGAAATTGTTGATTTCTGTTCTCAATGTAGCTGTTACTTCATCAAGATCGGCTAGTGCCTGAATTTAAAAATCAAAATTGATCCATCATAAAACTATCCACAAATAGAGTTGTGCAGCAGCGGATCCAGGAATACAAAATAGAGGGCCCGTGAAGGGAGGGACTTTCACAGATAGAGTGTCCACCCACCTCAGCCAGACCATGGTTTGGTCTGAGGCAAGACAAATTTAATTAGGATTATGGCAACTCTATATGGCTGGAAATGGCACTCTCATTTAAATATAATTTTCTTTTTTCTTTTTGTTCATACTGTAGTATCGAAAAATTTATTGGGGGGAGGGGGCGTGGGGAGGGCGGCGCACCCTTGAATCATCCAATTTTGGGAACATCGGGAACATTGTATTACACAATGCTACGCCTCAAGAATGTTCCCGACGGTTATTTGGACCTGTTCAACCATGAAGCCTTCCTGGTCTAGTGGTTATGACGCTCGCCTTGTCAGCGAGAGGTCGCAGGTTCATCCCGTCGGAGGCATTTTATTACACAATGACTTTTATAGGACTTTATTCGTTACAAAGCTACAGGGTAGCCGACGATGTTCCATCATGTCCTTATTTAAACACTGTATATGTATATATATATAAATCAGGCTGGAAAAATTATTCAATAAAATAGACAACTAGATAATATCTATGAGATTAACATTATTGATAAAAAAGAGTATTTTAATAGATAGTTCCCACCCACTAAATAAATCTGTTACTTGGCTACCCTCGGGTAAAAGGTTAAAATCACAAGTCTGTAGAACAAATAGATATCTTAATTCATTCGTACCACTTTTCATTAGAATGCTTAATCAGAATATCAAAAAAGTTGTATGGCCTAATTATAATTTATTTTCTCAACTACTATGGTATCTATTTATTATTTATACTGACTACTGCATGCCTATGTGGCATTCAGTGGGGGGGGGGGGGGGGGTAGTCTTACCAACATTACTTTAGTTTAGGGTGGTTTAAGCTGTAGTTAACAGTTCTCAGCCAGAAGCAGAACCGAAACAAGAATCATACTTTTACTTTTAATTCTAGATCTAGTTTATGCATAATTATTCTGGAAATAGCGCGATATGACTGTTGATAGATACAGCTAATAGACTGCACCAACCGCGATTCACTATCGTTATGGCTTAGAAGACTAAGAGATAGTCCTTAATAATCAATGACTGCATTAAAGTCTAAAGTACCGTACAACAAACAAGATGATCAATCTACAAGTGGATATACCTTTGTCAGTTCAAATTCTAACGTGTCGTTGTCTCCTCTCTGTCTTACCCATTTCAAGGTGTTTTTCTGAAAGAGAAAAACAAAACTTAGAGGTTAAATCCTTTACTGCATTTATTTGCATAAGTAATTGATACTATAATATTGAACTTTATTCAAAATTGAATTTTAATTTTTAAAATATCATTTTTCATCTCTGTTAAGTCTCTCATCTGACTAAGAAAACATATCTGAAGATCTTTCTTATTTAAAGCAATTTCTTAAACTTACGATATCATACGTGTTTAAATCCTATCTTCTACAT